TAAAAGGTTATTTTCCGGCGAACCGGTCGTTTTGGCTTCTAAGTCCGTTCTTGGACTTGGAACCACCTTCCAACCCCTCATTCTACATTTCTAAACATGTAGAACAAGAATAGGGGTTCTTTATATGATACATATCTCATATTATAGAAGAAAAATAAAGGAAAAGTTATAATAAGGTCATTACCTTAAATATTCACACTTTTCCCTCACCTTTTCCTTCTTAATCTCTCCCCTTGGAACAACCTTGCTTGAGCTTGATTTGAAGCAATGGAGGATGGACTTAGAGCTTCTTTTTCTCTCCTTCTTTTGGTCTTGGTCGAGCTTGATAGGGGGGAGGGAGTGATGAGAGTGGTTTTGTCTCATTGGACCAATGAGTGTGGATGTGAGGTCCACCTCATGTCCTTTAGATCCTTCTCAATCAAACCAACTTCTCCCATCCCCTTACTCTAATTTCAGCCGCCCAATTCATTGATTCTTGTGACCAAAAATCGTGGGTTGGCCCACACACATGTGGGAGGTCAACCCTTTAACTCCCGATGTGTACAATCGGTCCCGAAAGTTGTATTTTTCGGATTATTTTATTTATATTTTATTTTATCGGGTCAAATAAAATGTATTATGCGTTTCCCATCATTATGGACTCTTAGAATGAATATTCATTCCTCATCTTTAATTTGGGAGTCTCCGAAATTCATTTTGGACTGTTATCTGATAAATCCCTAATACCGGTAATTGGGCCTTGTTTGACCGACCGGTCAACCCTATGCCCTTTCCATGGCCCGACTAAAATATCTACCACCATAAACATATTATCTGGACCAAGATGAATATAATATGTGGTTCCGGGATTATCGGGTGGTCCCCGCTTCCGATGCGGGCCCCGCGTGCAATTTACTACTCATGCAAAAGAATTAACAAAAAATTTACGACCTCATAAATTCATAATTCAATATTCAAGGTTTATTACATGAGTAAAAGTAAATATATTTGGAGACGGTGTTACATTTTACCTTCAGTTACATAAAAAAATTCAAATTTTAAATGATGAAATTATGATCATACAGCTGCAACAACATTTATTGTGGTTGCATCAGCTTCTTCCCTAGCTTCTTCTGCAATGAGCTCATCACATTCTTTAATCAAATCATTGAATTCTTTCTTCAGCTCTATCGGTGCCAAAGAAACGCTTGTTTCCAATGCAGCTTTTGCAGTCTGGTATTCTTCAAGCTTCAAGCAGGCCATGCCTTTACGTGAATAAGCTCTGGCCATTGAGGGTCCAACTCTACTGCCTTGTTCGCATCCGCTACAGCTTTGGTGAAGTTTTGGAGTTTAATGTTGGCCTGGGCGCGGTCGACGAAGAGCTCGGCTTTGTCGGGGCTGAAAGCGATGGCTTGAGAGTAGATATCAACGGCCAATTCGAAGTGGTCGTCGATAAAGGCGTCCTTAGCCCTGCGTTCAAGATCAGAGGCCATTGTTTTTCCAATACAACAATCTCATATGACACCAATATTACTAATATAAAGTTTAAAAAATATAGTCCATTCGTCTCATAGAATTTGATCAAAGTTGACAGTTTGCACGTAGATTAATAAAGTAAAAAATGTGGTTGAAATTTATGCAAAGAAGAGATAATTAATTTTAGCCACATATTTGTTATTTTAAATTGAAATAGTAAAGTTGTTTGGGATGATAGAAATTTGGCCAAGTTTCATGGGACGGAGGGAGGTATAAAGTGTCATTCGTTGGAGATATTTAGGCCTAAAACATTTCTTAAGTAGATTCAAATGTTAAAATTAAGATATCTTGTTAAAATATATTTTTATATGGAGTATCGTTTAGTTATTTTTTTCAAAAATAGGTCTGAAGTAACAAAAAAACTAAACTCTAAATTTATTTATCTTTATATCGGAATGTTTGACTTTTTGCATATTTATATGCAAAAAAGAATTTGGGAAAAGATTGGTGAATAAAAATAAAAGTAAAGGATTGAATTAAAAAGCTTTACTAATTAAATATATTGATGGTGTTTGATTACAAGAAAAAATAGAAATTGCCCAAATAGGAGTATAACATAAAACTTCCTTCAATAGGAGTAAACATTAATTTTGTACCTTTAATATCCCTAACCTAGTTAATTCTAAAATATGACTTATTTAATCTTAACCTAGTTAATTTATGACTTATTCGATAATAATAATTTATTTATTTATTTTTCAAAAAATAAAAAATATATATTTTTTAAAAAAAATAAAAAACTCAAAAAAATAAAATAAAATTCACCGCCGCCTCTGCACCACCACCTCCAGTCACAAGGGGAAAAATGCCAAGTTCATTACGAATGCCATATTTATGGTAAAAAATAATGAAAATGTTGGCATTCTCAAAGAGAAATATGCCATGTTTTTGGCATTTTCAGAAAAAATGGCAGTTTTTAGGAAAAATGGAATTTTTTTCAACGCCCAGAGGTGGTGGTGCAGGAAGGTAGTACAGGCGGTGGGAAAGACATCCATATTTTTTTTTAACTTTTTATGGAGTTTTACTATTTTTTATTAATTTTTAAAAAAACTAAAAAATTAATTTTTTTTTAATTTTTTTTTATTAATATTTTATATTTTTTTAATTATTTTTCTACGAATTTTGATTTTTTTCCGAATTTATTATGAATTAAATATTTAATTAAAAGTTGTTGGGGCTTGGGTAGGGGTATACTTGTCAAAACACTAAAGTTACTTCTATTCAAAACATGATACTCCTATTTTTGCATTTTGCCTATATTTTACTCCTATTTGGGGAATTCTCTCAAGAAAAAATTGAATCGACTAAATCAATATGTATAAATTAGTGAAAGAATTTAATTTATTGAGAGAGACAATTTTACGTGGTTAAGCAAAGGGTAGCGATCAACGTAACTAATCACGTAGCGATGAGGTGATCCTTATGATATACGGAGTATAAAGCAATGACGAATGTGACGATTCTTTTCTTAACTTCTGGATCACTCCATGGTCCTTAATTGTTGACCTAGTTAGAAAATATTACCTCCTGGCTTTGCCAATTTTACGTTGATCCTCAAATAAGAAAAATAAAAATTGATTGAGATTTGTGCAGATCAGAGAGAAACAAACCGACTCACAATTTGATTACTTTAAAAAGAAAAGTGATAATTTTTTGGGAAAAACTAATAAGGAAAGTCGGTAAAGTCCATCACGACAAAAGAAGTACTATGTATTATAGAGAAGTCGATAGAAAGATTCACCGATAATATGCTACTCCCTTCGTCCCGAAAAGATTAGCCAAATTTCCCTTTTTTGATGTCCCAAAAAGACTTGTCATTTCCATTTAAAGTAAAGAATATGTGGCTAAAATTAATTCTCTCTTCTCTGTACAAATTTCAATCACACAGTTTTTACTTTATTAATTCACGTGAAAGTCAACTTTGACCAACCTTTTTGAGACGGAGGGAGTATGTTTTCTCTTTGTTTTCGTATTAATCTCGTGATTTTCCCCCAAGAGAATACAATTTTCAGATAAAATGGATCAGAACTATATATTGCCGCCAACGGTTTTTTTGCTGGAAACAATACGTAGTATATTTCTTGGAAAAGTTCTTATATGATAATCCGATAATGTACAAGTGAATAAAGTTATAGAGTGAATAATATATAGGTATATACACAAATTATAATTAAGAGTAAATCTACAATTTTCTCTATTTGAAAGATATTATGAAAGTGCAAAACATAAGTCTGGTTGAGTATTTTGGGAAACCTGTCAGATAGGTCCTCGAACTTTCATAAAAAAATCAATTAAGTCCTTTTATAGGAGACTCTGTCCGGTCGTCGCGATTTGGGGTGGTTCCCGGTGGAATTTTTTGATGAATTTTTTTGAGCATATTATTCATCAAGTCTAGTTTACTCATACCAAATTTCCGCTAAAAATTTAATCGGGAGTACATTCAAATTAATTCTAGAACGCAAATATGCGCAGTTATCTTCAAGAATTAATTTGAATGAGTTCCTGATTGAATTGTTAGCTGAAATTTGGTATGAGTAAACTAAACTTGGTGAATAAGATGCTCAAAAAAATTCATAAAAAAATCCCACCGGGAACTGCCCCAAATTGCGACGACCGCACAGAACCTCCTATAGAAGGACTTAATTGATCTTTTTATCAAAGTTCGAGGACGTATTTGACAGTTTTCCCTGAGTATTTTCAAAGGAAAAAAATACCAAAAAGGAAAAATATAGCAAACAAAAAATACTTCTCAAAAAGTACGGTGGCATGTAGCAAACAAAAGAATACGAAAGAAGTACTATATTAGTTCATTTTTTATAAAATAAATAAAAATTTATACTACCTCCGTCCTAATTTACTTAGCCATCTTTGATTTTTCTAGTCAAAGGTGGTAACCTTTGATCAATTATTTAAACTAATATATTTATGCAAAATTTAATAATTTTATACTTTTATGATAGTATTTTTAACAAAGAACATTTTCATATCATTTTCATATTATTAATACTTTCTCTATATAAACATATTATCGGTCAAAGTTAGACGTCATTGACTTGAAAAGTCAAGTTTAGCTAACTAAAATGGGATGAAGGGAGTATAAATTTGTAAATACTGTCACGAAGGATGTGTCTAGTTTAAAAGACGAGACATAAGCATTTACACTACAATTAATTTTCACTAGTGTAAAGCCCAGACAATGCCCCGGTAGCACGTTAATATGTTATGGGTTAAAATGAAAAATACGTACGTAATAATAGATATATATTGTGAATTAAATTTTATGTTCGTTTTTCATATTTTAGTGCACTATTTTTTGGCGAATTTCACCGTTCATGCATCGCACGGGTGTCATACTAATTAGAAATAAACAAATACTTTTTTATTTATTATTTATTAAAGGCCATTTTTATTTTTTATATTATTAACTTAAACAGAGGCAAGGTGACTGCCTATAAATTCAACCATTGCATAAATGGATGATTTGTCCTCCTTCAGGTGCATTTTTATTTTCTATTTCGACACTTTAATTTATCTCTTGCATTTTTTAGCTCTCCACAAGATTGTTCAATCTAGAAAGGAAGATGAAGACCAAGACGAACTTGTCAACTAAAAAAATTATCATTGTCATCCTTTTGTTGATCACTCTCATTGCTGACGTGTGTGCAGATCCAGTATCCGCAGTATCTGCAAGTCACGGCGGAGGTGGTGGCGGGCACAGCGGCGGCAGCGGCGCGCATGGGAGTGGTGTTGGAGAGAACGGTGGCGCTCGAGTGGTCCCGGCCGTGCATGGTAATAATAATAATAATCAACACAGAAAAGGGAATCGCGCCCAACTCATGAAACCGCCCGTCATCCTACCCGGCCGCCATGGCTTTGCTTGGGATACTATTACTTCCATGTTTGGACTTCATCTTGACGCCGTCATCATCATCAACCTACTCGTCTTTTTTCTCATCTAAGTTTGAATTTCTGCATATTTGATCTTCATGCATTTCTTTTCTTAATTTACACTCCGTAAATTATCTCGAAAAGAATTTGACATATTGACTTTTATTAGTTATATTTGATCTTCATGCATTTCTTTTCTTTAATATTAATTTCCCTACATTATGTAAGAATTTGCTAGCTAACTATGCCCTAGCTAGCATGTGGTATCTACTAATTGAAAGTTTATTGTGTTCTGACTGTTCTCCATCTACTATGCAAGAGTGCTAATTAAACAATTATGCCTATATAAATCAATGTCCTACTCTCGTTTTAATATTTTTCTTATCTTAAAATGTATTTCCAATGCAAAACTAATACGATGTATTTGTTATTATTATAACTACAAGGACGTATGAATTAATTAATAATGATACTATGTACACTAAAGATATGTATTATTATAAGTATTAAAATAATATATACTATTAGCATATGGTAATAAAAATATTTCTATTAGTAACAAAAAAGTATGAGTGATATAATTAATAGAATAACAAGACAAAACTGACACCAATAATTACTACTTTTAAGAATTTTACAAAAATAATCTCTATTGGGGAATTGAAGTTTGCAACAATGATCCCTACTAATTAATTATTTATTTCACAAAAATAAACCGAGTGCTAGCGGTGTTATTTTTTTAAATTTTAAATATAACGAAGCAAATATATATACAAAAGTATTAATAATATTATATTTGTGTTAGTCTTATTTCTACTATAAATTTAAATTAATATTCAATATTTTTTCATAAAACATAATAGGAACATCTGAACACATACTCATCAAAGTCTCTATTAACTTTTATTCCTTATCAATTTTTTTATATTCATTTTTTATTCATTATAATAGTGATTATTTCAAAGTAGTTTTAGTTTTTTTAATCCAGTGCAAAACATGCAAGCATATTAATACAAAGTATATGATAACATTTTAATCATATAAGATATTTTTTTAATTATGTTTGTATTTATGAAATCATATATACTCAAATAAAAGTAAATATGAATATAAACATACGAAGTATTTTCCTATGATAATTCAGTATCTCATGCATTTAATTATAGGAGATAAATTTTTAAAATACGACAAGGTTAAAAATAATTATCATATACTTTGTATCAATATATAATTTATTAATATTAAAAATACTTTGTAATCTCTTTTATAATGAAAATAAACTGAATATAAATAACATATCGATAAGAAATACTCGTAAATGATAAAAAAGAATTGATGAGTATGTGTTGAAATATTGGTACAATATTTTAGATAGGATAAAAATGATTATTAAATGGAATTCATAAATTGTTACTCCTGAATTTTTGTTTGGACCCGGTAGGCAAATCACTCAGTGGTGGGGCAAATGTCAGGGAACATTTGTCAGGTATTATTAGCCAGAGACGCAAGTGCGAAAAAGAGAGGGGGACCAAACCAACACATCTCAAGAAGAGGCGTACCTCTTCGAATTACAAGTGATAAAAATTAAAATCTAAAAAGGGAATAATTTCTGAGGGGCTAGACCTGACCCGGAAAAAATAAAAATAATGAAACAGAACAAAAATAAAATAAAACAGGCGTAAGAATACCGTAAGAATGATTAGCCCAATTTGCCCGCCATGATCGATCTACAAATATGACCAGGTAGTCCACGAAGCGATGAAATTACAGCAAAACCAGATTTCTTCATTCTAAAAAATCTTTTTGTAGAATACATAAAATAGAGATCATTTGTCTCTATTTCGCCATATTACAATAGTAGAAAGGGAAATTACCCAAAATAGGAGCAAATGACATTTGGAATTCCAAAAATAGGACTAATATGTTTTTCTTCCCGAAATAGGAATTATTACTGTCACGTATGAAAAATACTGTCATGATTGAAAAATACTGTCATTAATTATAATAAATACTGTCATGTTAAATGCATTGTACTGCAACTATTTGGCACTCACGGCTACAAGATGATAGTAAATATTGTCATGTTAGTCTCATTTCGGAAATAAAAACAAAGTAGTCATATTTTGGAATTTCAAACTTCATTTACTGCTATTTTGGGAAATCTCGCTAGCAATAATAAGACTTCTGCGCATGCACTTTTTGGGTTGCAGGGAGCAGTATAATGTTAATACAAATATAATTGTCGCACAATACTATACACTATTCACTTTTACTACACATAGAGATTTGCAATATCAATCTCATAACTTTTGGTTAAGTTGTGTATGTTATTGTTAGTCCTATAATTAAATTAAAACGTGATAAGCTTGACAATGTTGCACTAAGGTGACGTCGATGCTTTAATTTTGTACTATGGTCGCAAGAAAGAGTGCCACCAAAGGAACTAGAGGAGCAATTAATTAGATTAGGATATTAAGGATACAAAATTAATGTTTAGTTCTTGAAAGATTTAGATTTTAATCTTATTTGTGTAATTATATTTCCATTTAATCCTATTTAGGACAATTACTATATTTCTTACTTTTACTTCTCTGTTTTTTATGAAAAATGTATATAATTCTTACATCAAATAATACTATTCTTTAAAAGGTCATTCCAAAATAATTTCAAGCACGCAAAGTTCAAATGCCAAGGCCTGAGATGGTGGCAAGAGGTGGAAACGATTGAATGACGTAACAATGAAGCAACAAGAATATTTCAAACTTGTCAATGAACTAATGAACTCCTAATGATTAGAGATAATAGGATGACGTATGTGATTACATATCTCACAATGTTGCTAATAACTTTTCTTTTCTAACTTGTTACATATTTCAAACTTGTCTAACTTGTTGTCTTTGTTGACTTCTATCAATTTGTATTACTCCCTCCGTCCCAAAATTATATTCATGGTTACTATTCACACGCTCAACTCAAATTACTCTTAAACTTTTACTTTATATATCAACTTTTTATCAAATTTAAATTTTCTTGATCATCTTTTGTAGCGGGTTTAATGTAGTTTCTGAATATGTAAATTTAGTTTACTAAAAATAATCTGAGTGTGAACAGGGATCAAGTTGTTTTATCGTCAGTCAAACATCGTAAACCGAACTACGAAGATAAATATGGGACGGAGGGAGTAGATAATAGGATGAAGAAGTATCAGATATTGAGAAAATTGTCTAAATAGAATTAAAAAGAGCTAATCTGACAAAACTACCTCCTACCAAGTTCCCCAGGTGTGCGTGCGTGCGTGCTAGACACAAGTCTTTGCAGCTTCCGTTCTAGTAAGAATGCCACTTGATATGAATAATGACATGATAATAGCATTTTTATTTTTAAGGGTATATGATATTTTCATATCGCCATCTTAATAAATGTATTGTCACTAACACGATATTTTTTTCAAATAACCAATAATTTTGACATTCTCATATATACAAGTGGCATTTTGGTGAATAAATAAAATTAAAATCAAATCCAAATAAATAAATAAAATTGATATCCAAAAAATCCAAAGAAGACGAGAACAGAGGACAAGAAATTTGAAGATGATTAGAAGAGAAGAAGGAGAAGGAGAAGGAGAAGGAGAAAGAGAAGGAGAAGTATAGAAGATTACCTATGGTCGACGGCGGAGCTGCGGTGCGAGGCCATAGTCGATGGAGAAGTTGCACTCCATAGGAGGAAGGGATGTGTGCGGAGTTGCTGCGATGAATTGAAGACGATCGGGAGAAAGCAGCGATGAATTGCAGAAGGGGGCAGATCCATGAATTGCAGAAGCGATGAGTTTAATTAAATTAGGGGTAAAAGTGTAATCTTTAGTCCTATTTAGGGAATAATAAACCTGAAGTCATATTTTGAAATTTAGACAATGTTTAAGTTCCATTTAAGGCAATTACATACACTAATATTTAGATACTCAAAACTTTTCCACATGAGAGTACATGTTTCTGGATAAAAAGGATTTGAATTGTGTGTTGCTTGCATGCCATCAATTATTTTCTTACAAGAAATAGTAAATTTGTTGGAAATGTTATTAAAGTGTGCAAAGTTACAATACTAATTATATTAAGAGAGATTTGCATAAATTTTAAGACTAATCTACAATTTTCTTTGATCTTACAAATCTATAAGATTAGATCATATCACTAGTAGAAAAAGGGCTTATAGTGACACTAATTTAGTGTCACCGAAAGTTTCTATGACACTAAAAAAGTGTCGAGAAAGGTGGGGGCTAGCGACACTAAATATAGTGTCAGTGATTGCAAAACAAAACAGTGTCACTAAATGACACATTAATGTGATGCAAAATTATGACACATTGGTATCATAAGACTTTGTGACACATTGGTATCATAAAAATTATAACACATCGGTGTCATATTATTACAATAATAATATTATTATAATCATTGTATTATTTCTTTCTTTCTAGTTCTGTTATAAATAAATTATATAAGTTAAAGAAATATTAATAAATAGCCAAAACAAAACAACAATATCTGTATTTACTACTCAAATAATTTTAAAGTGTCAATATCAATAAAGTATTACATACTTCCTCCGTCTCTTTTTAGTTGCAACAGTCAACATTTCACGTTTGCCAACACACAACTTTGACCGTCATTATATTTAATTCTGTATTAGTAAAAATAAAATAAAAATCAGATTATAAAACTTAGTAATGAGACGAATTTAACAACATTTTTCAAAAAAATAATTCACATACATTAATAAATAAAATGTAGTCAAAGTAAAGTACATGAATAGTGTATATATTCCAATGTTGCAATTAATGCGATACGGAAGATAGTATATTACAAGATGCTATAGATTTACACTTTAATCATACAAAATTCTTATATGCTACACGCTAGACACCGTAGTTCCTGGCATCACCATAAAAATCCAATAAATCAAGTCTTTAGCGTACTTGGTTGAACATAGCCTACATAATTTTTTAATTTTGCAATATTAATAATCATTAAGTTCAACAAGTACATCAACATTTAAAGATAAAATTAACACAGGTCAATATTTTCCATGCTAGAGCTTATAATGATTATTATGAAAATAGTGTGACAAATCAAAGAACAGAAACTACCTAGACAAAAAAATAGGATATCTACATAGAGAACTTTAAAATTTTACCATGCTAAAAGTATAGCAATCCTCCATGACAAATGTGGAGAACACACTAAATGGCAAGTTTGAGAATCTGCAGCAGTATTTTTGTGAACTTGAATCATTCAAAATG